CAAACGAAAGCTTACTTTTAATCATGTTTTTACAATTCCATCCTTTTTCCTTTCACTTTTATCTACTAGCCAAAAATTAAGATAGGAGAAAAAATAGCAAAAATAGAAAGGATTTTTATCATTAGTATTATTTTAAACATTTGACAAAATGTTTAGTGTTCCCCTGTTTGCCCCATCACTGAGACTGTAAAATCCTCAAGGACGGGAACAATTAGCTGTCTTCTTTTATACTGGGCATCATGCCCAAATCTTGGTACACATTTACTTTTTTCAAACTCTGTACCTCAGAGTTAAATTGCTACTTTATTGGGATTATCCTGTAATTTTCCCTTGCCTGAATGCACTAAGAATTTTTTATTTTCCAAAATAGCAGCGTGTTCTTTCATTTTTGAAATGTGGTCACACTGTGCAAACTGGTAGCCAACAGACCCCAGGTCAAGGCATATGCATGCCCTAGGCAAGGTGTGAAAGTTGCATCTCCTTTGTGTTAACTGTCCACCAGGCTTTGAGCTTTCATTATGATATATGTGTGACTTGGTTTATTACAAAGAAAACCTTTCTGGAAGGCAGAATAAATCTGCTAGCATTAAAAATATGTGCACTTATAAGAAACAGTGTCCCTCTGGACACTCTATCTGCCTTACCTTAACTTTAGTCCCATCTCTTTTCTGACACATATATACTTTGCAAAGCTTTTGGTCATAAAAATACTTTCAGAATACATAATAATTTGACATTTACTTGTTGGGAGGAGGTCTTAGAATAGGGGTGGGGTTTCAAAGTTCAATTGTTTAGGACTATGATGTTAATGAGATGACTCACCTCCACAGATATCAATTTGCTTCATTTTGTCCCAATGTCCATGCCCATTTACCAAATGTACAATTGGTTCCATGAGACTGGGAATGGATCATCACAAACCCACTTCTACTTCTAGAAAAAGAAGATGTAGGGGGCAGCGAGGTGGTGCAGTGGACAGAGCACCGGCCCTGGATTCAGGAGGACCTGAGTTCAAATCAAGACTCAGACATACCACACTTATTAGCTGTGGGCAAGTCACATACCCCCATTGCCTAGCAAAAAAAAAAAAGAAAAAAAAAGAAAAAAGAAAAAGAAGATGTACTTCCTGGAGCTCTACACACCATGCTGCCCCAATTTGAACCATCATATCTACCTGCCACCTCCCTGTAACCTGGATTGTGCCTCTCTGTGCCTGGCTCACTTTATTCCCTTCACCCTTGCTTTCCAGTTTTCCTTTATGTATCTCCAAATAGTATGTAAGCTCCTTGAGGACAAGGACTGTCTTGCTAGCATTTGTATTCCCAGTGCCTGGATCAATGCCTGGAACATAGTAAGCACTTAATAAATGCTTATCCTATCTATCTCTATATATACATTTATGTCAGTAACATTCTCTTTGTAATGGCAGTACAGTAGCTATTCAACTTAACATTATTACATTGCCATGCTTGAGTGTTAAGACAAATTTCTTTCATGTAACATTTGGTTTCATAATTTAGGAATTATCAGCATAATTGAATAGGAAATTTGATCAATATATAAGGGTAAAATATTTCAGTAAATGTACCATTTTTCAGTTTTTAAACTCACTTGAATTTTCAAAGGGTTACCTCCAGAAGGGGTGTGTGTGTGTGAATTACGGATACACAGAGCTGCTTTTTGTTTGGGAATGTTGCAACAATCATAAATTGTCTGCTTAAATTTTTACTGACTAGGCTAGAGCTCCATGTTTCAAAACTAATGACTATTTCTTTGTTAAACAGTACCTTCCAATCACATCTTCCAACATCAAACTTCTTAAAGCAAAAAATATAAATAAGGTTGGTTATCTTTTGAATCCCTACTTAGAATTTGACTCTTCCATTAATTTTAATATTTGAAGTGGTTTGTGGTTTGGTTTTTGTTTTGTTTTGTTTTGTTTTTGGACTAATGAGATTCTAGTTAGCCTATAGACAGAGCTCTGGGCTTGGAGTCAGGAAAATCTAAATTCAAATCCAGCCTTGGACACTAGCTGTATGATACTGGGCAAGTCACTTACTCTCTCTGTGCCTCCGTTTTCTTATCTATAAAGTAGGGATAATAATAGCACCTACCTAGCAGGGTTGTTGTGAGGATCAAATGAGATAATATTTATAAAAAACACTTAGCAAAGTGCCTGGCACATAGTAGGCATTTCATAATTCTTTATTCCTTCTCCTCTTCTCTTTCCCTAATGACAGTTCTGTTGTTTCTTTGTTATAAAAAAAAATGTTTATTTGTTCTTAGTAGACATTCCCAGCCTTAAGTCTCTTAATTTTGGCAGGGTGGGGAAAGGAAGGACAAGAGACAGTATGGTTCTGTGATTTCATGGGTCTATAAAATTCCTGACATGGAAACTCCCTTCAGCAATGCAGATCAGCAAGTTGCCTATAACTTAGAGTCTTAGGAAGGCTGCATGAGTCACCCAGAGGTCAATAAGTGACTTTCCCCAGCTAGCGAATGGTAAGCCCACATCTTCCTGATCCAACACTGTCTTTCTATTATCCCATGCTGAATTGATGTTATGTTGTTATATCATACACTCAGCACAGTAATTAAATCCCAAGTTAAAGACAAAGCTTTTGAAGTCCATCAACCCACTCTCTTCTTGAGAAGCAGCATGGCATATTGGACAGGGCACTGGACTGGGAGTCAGAAAGACATGGGGGTTCAGGTTCCACCCCAGCCCCCTTACTAGTTGCATGATCCTGGACAATTCATTTAACCTTTGGGTGCTTCTGCTTCCTCTTTTGTAAGATGAAAGGGGTTGGAATTGAGGACCTCTGAGGTCCCTTTAAGCTCAAAAGCTATGATCCTATGGTCTTTTTTTAAATTCACTTACTCTTCCACTGGTTTCAGGCCTCTAACAAATGCTGGCTGGGTGACTGAGCAAATCAGAACTTCTCAAGACCCCAGGCAATGCTCTAAAACTAGAAATTGCTGAAAAGGTGCCAATTTGCATTGATAGAAAGGATGATTGAAAGTTTCTCACTAGGAAATCACAGGCCCAGTCCTACCATTCCTTCAAGAGATCAAGGAGAAATTCCCCATGTATAGTAATATACAGTAGGAAGAAAAGCATGCAGCAGTAGTCACTTTAAAAAAATTTAAGTGACAAAAGTCAAGCAGTTTATTGCCAGAATAAACTAAGATAATATACTAAATAAACTGGTGAAGCTAAATACATTATTTTTTAGTATTTTTAGCCACCAGATGGCAATTGTGAGAGTGCTACATTGAAAAAGTACTAGGTAGTACCAGAAAACAGAGAACTTCCCAATAAATTAGAAAGAAAAGTCCACATTAACTCTATTGGGTCACTTGGATTTCCAGAAAACTTGACAAACAATGATAAACCTTGTTTCCCTTTTCACAATTCTATAAGTAAACTTTATAAAATAATAAAATACTAAAGAAAAATAAGAAATTATTTTGGAATATGACCATGTTTTTAAACATTATAAGACAATGCTTTGATAGTATTTTTTTAAAAAAAGACGAAGTAGCAATGTTTCTGTGATTCTAAGGAATGAATAGACATATATTGAATGGTACAAAGGAAAGCCATAAATCAATAACATAGAATTGCAATCACTTTTTGGAAAACCTAATGTCTGTTGCATTGGACAAGAGACTTCTATCTACTGAAAAAGAAGCAAAAGGTTTGATGGCAAGGGTTAGGATTTAAAAAAACAAACAAATAACTTGGCTTCATAAATTAAGAGAATCAAGACTGGGAATGTCTTCCATGAATAAATAAATGATTTATTGGGAAACAAACAACAGAATTTGATGAACAAAGGTAAGTTGACTATAATCTCATCAATCCTGATATAGAACATCAGAATTTAGTTGGATCAAATTAATCTTAAATTGTGATGAAAAACATAACAGAGCAGTTTTAGTCTGTATTTAAATTTTCAATTTTATATTCATATTTAGCAATCAATCAAGACTTCATAGAAATTTCTTAATGCTAAAAGTTGAAATGTAGAAAACAAAATATATTCCATGATTTATACAACTTTGTTTCACACTGTAAGCCTACTTCACTTCAGTCCACTAGTTAGTCAACTAACATTAAGCACCTATTATGTGCCAGGCACTATGCTAAGCACATAAACTGCCACATTTTGAACTATTTCAAGATTAAAATCAGTGGTTTTTTTAAAAAAAATTAATTATAGTTTGGTTGTCTCAATTATCAAAAAAATTCTAAAATTACTTTCAGAGTATTTTCCTGTTTTTAACTATTTCTGCTCTGGAATAAAACAACATTCCTGACAAAGGTTTTATACATGAAACTCTTCATATTTTTCAAACCAATAAGGGTATTCTGATTATTAGTAATCAAGTCATATTACACAGGAAAGATCTCTAACAATGTGTTTTTTCATCAAACATTTAAAATTCACAACATATTATAAGATTTCTTTTTGTAAAATTAAGACTTCCCATGAACTACTGTTCCAGATAAAATTAGGTTTTTTTTTAACTTTTACTCCTTAATAGCAACAATAGTAATAGAAATTTTGCTCCAAGAGAGATGACTCCTATCAAGTATATTCCCTACTAGATGATTAAGATATAAAGATTAGTTATAATAAATTCAAAATAATTTCTTAAAACATTTTATTTATATTTCATTTTATTTACATGTCCATTACCCAAATCTATGGGGCTAATCCTTGCAAGATCAAAATTCTATTATTGTTTGGGAAACAATTTTTTAAAATATGATTTGAAGAGGGTTTTAACATGTAAGGTTTCATTTTCAACATTAAAATACATATATATGAAAGACAGCACTAAAAATGCTTTATTATTAAAAACGTTGAGTTATCAAACACAAATGGATAAAAGATGTACAATAAAGGAAATATACTCTTTCATAGCATTTACAACCTTACTATAATCATATAAAGACAAAGAATGAGACCATACATACTTAATAGGGAAAGGAAATCATCAACTGTCATTAGCAGGAAGATCTGGGTACTTTCAAAAAGTTCATAATTAAAAATTAGACAAAGCAACAGATACCAAAATAGGGGCAGTGGTGGGGGGGCCAAGGGGGAGGGAAGAGTATTTCTTTTAAAGTCTTCTTAAGTTGCGCTTGCTCTGAGCACTTCCTGGAAGAGCATCTCTTCTATTTCGTGGCTTTGCAGATCTACTACTACATTCTTCTGCCCCATGGTATGTACACAGACATAACACACAAAAGTCAAAACCACAGGCTTCTCGACTGCACAGTCCCCGTTTCTTAACTGGCTGATACTTAGCAGGGGACTGGCACCTTGGACAAGGTTTTAATGCTTCATCAATAAAAAGTGTTTTGGCAACCTGTAGTAGAAGCAGACACACTGAATCCTACAGTTCTGAGTCAAGAATCACTCTATGTCCAGTATTTCCTTTTAATAATGAGTTATAGATACTCACCTTAACATATTCTTCCTGTTTGCTAGGTAACTGAGTAACAGAGCAGCATTCTTTGGGCGTTAAAACTTGCCCCCAAGGAGATGGTGTTGAAACCTCTTCTTTCTGAGAACCAGGTGTCCTAGCTTGGGCTTGCACAGATCTCAGAGCTGATCGATTTAAAAGACTGAGCCTTGTTGCAGCATCCTCGACACATAATATACTCCCCTGTTGGAAGAGAATAATATTGGCTATTACAATGGTTAATACCTAGGGAAGCCCAGGAGAGTACCTCTCTGTTGCAAAGCAGATTTGTCTTTTTTGGTATTATTTTCTTGGCATTCTTTCGTATGCCCACCCCCAAACTATTGCTTTTGTGAGTTATATATTTTTGCAACTAACATTTTAGTTTTTAAAGCTAAGGCAAAAAATTAAAAAATAAATTTTTAAACCCAAAATATTGTTAAATGAGAACTCTAAGCATAATTTGTAATCTTCTATCCATTTGAACTGAAAGCCTAAGAAGTAATAAATCTTTATGAAGCTTGCTACCAAATACTTTGGAATTCTTTGAAGACATCTCATTTAGCAAACAAGTCATGAGAATAATAGGCCTAGTGAGACCATAAAACTCAATAGCTTAGATTGGCCTTTGCCAATACCTGGTGCTAGTTCATTTTTATGGTTCCTGTCAAGTTTTAAAAAGCTTTGATAATGTAAGAAAAAAAAATAACTTTTATCTGAGCTGAAAACCCTTTCATGAGTTAAATATACTGATGAGGAAAACTCCAAAGGAGTAATTTTTATGAATCCAAAGAACTATCAATTGTGCTGGGAAAATATTAGCGAACTTTTTACAAACTGATGCATCACTTACCTTAATAAATTAATAGCTAACTTAAATCAATTTTATCTACTTCATTGCCAAGAATGTGATGAAAGAACCACATGAGACAACAGCACACACACAAAAAACAAAAACCATGGCTTAACACTTATCACGCCATTACACAAACATAATTTAGTGAATCATGAAAAGAAAAGCTTTATCTTTAATTCTAATTCATTAGTCTATATTTCTAAGACTCACAGAGGTTTTTAGACAATAACTGCTTAAGCAATGACATTAACTGTTCAAACTCCAAGTATCAGATCCTTAACCAATGCCTGAGTGAACATACTATGAGAAGATCTGAATCTCATCAGTACTTAACATAAATTCTAACTATAAATAAAACCTAAGTCCAAAAGGGCAGAAAGGATGACAAGTTTTCCTTAGAGTGACAGAGGAGCTGGTTTCATTGTATAGCAAGAAGCAAGAAGAAATGTATCATCAGACAGCAGGTCATCTCGTGCTGAAGGATTTATGAAAAGCACTGAAAGAAAGACCCCTGTGAAGATAATTTCAGCTCACACACCAACATCTGTTGCAGATAATGAGTAGGTGGAGATTTTCAGTGAAGAATTCAGTAAGACCCTCCAAATAAAAATGCTAAGATTCAGTGACATTAAGGCAGAAGATAACCATGGGGAGAGGGTGAGGCAGTGAAAAAATATTTTGGAAAATACAACTCGGGAGTGAAACTGGAAGGAAGGCAACAAAGGAAAACAGGAAACCTCCTATAACGAACTCTTTTCACCATCAGTGACAGTGAAGTCACTACCTTTTGACTCAAACATCATAGTTTGTGATGAAGGAATCAGGAAGTCGAAATTGCACACACAAAAAAAGCGAAGAGTATTTGGACTAAGGTGGCACAGTGGATGGAGCTTTGGGCCTGCAAATCTGAGTTCAAATGTAGCCTCAGACACTTACTAGATGCGTGAGCCTGGGCAAGTCACTTAACCCTGTTTGCCTCGGTTTCCTCCTCTGCAAAATGAGCTGCAGAAGGAAGTGGCAAACCACTCCAAGAAAACCCCAAATGGGGTTATGAAGAGTTGGACGTGACTGAAATAACTAAACAACATCTGGATGATGGCTGAAATCCATGCAGGCCCTGATAAAATTTTGAGGGCATTTAAGGATCTGTTCTCATTATATATTAAAGAAGTGAAGAAAGAATAACAAATGCTTGGAAAAAAATCATGACCTTTGTTACTGCCCTCCCTCTCCACCCCCACAAAAGAAAGGGAATTGAGAAAATAACCGCCAAACCACATACTTATGCTCTCATCTCGCCAAAATGTTAATGAGATCAATACATACATTGAGGTTATTCTTAATGAATATATAAGAAGAGAACAGGCAGATTTTCACAGATAATCTTCTATCCAGACCACATCTTCACACAAGCAATTGACCAGCAGCCACAGAAAATGCAAGATGCCACTGTGTTTTGTCTGTTGATTCCTTCAAAGGCCCTCCTCCCAAAAAGGCATCTCCCTTGAATATGCTGGTGTAAGGGAAACTGAGGAGAACAGATCCTCCCCAGCCCCGTCTGGAACCATCTCATGACCTAACAGTGTCACTGCCTCATGACCTGACATAAAGATAGATGGGAGTTACCATGCATGGCCAAGGTGACTATGTAAATGGAACATTAAGTAAAAACAAACTATGTTACCTGGGAAAGCAATTCATCTCAAGGAACATTTTTCTTCTTAAATATCAATTTATTTATTTGTAGGTTTCAACATTCATTTCCACAAGTTTTTGAGCTCCAAATTTTCAACCTGCCACCCCAAGATGGCATGCATTCTGAATATCCCTTCCCCTAGTCTGTCCTTTTCTTTCTGTCCCCCCTTCTCTTATCCCCTTCCCCTTCTATTTTCCTATAGGGCAGGAAGGGAACATTTTTCTTGAGAAAGGTGTGTACCTGTCCAAGGAATTGATCACTCCTTGGAGACTTAGACAACAAACTGGTATTTGGGGCTCTAATCAAGCCCCGAACTTTGTTAAGATGTGTGCGTGTCCTGGACATGAGCTCATCAGGGATATGTACACAAAACAAAATATTAAGATTGTCTTTCCCTGGTTTACATAGATATAAAAGGGGTCATTTGGAAAGGGATTTTTGGAGTACTTTGACATCAGAGATAGGGATGCCAAATCTCTGCTGTGGTCAGAAGTGGAACTCTGCACGGCTTCTGTTGAGTTGGAGCGGGACACCACCCCATTGCCTCCCTGACCAAGACCTCTTGGCTGTTCTTCAGTCTCCCTGGTCTATTAGGTATTTGAGCTTGCCTGGTCAGTAAGTATGTATCCTTTCTTTTCTTATTCCGCCTTTTCTTTATTTTATTACTTATTATATTGAATGTTTTTCTCATCTTTATTTGTGTGTGTTTTGCCTTAATCATTATTAATCATTGTAAAATAAATGTGATTACTTGTTAAGTTTACACTGAATATGTGTTATTATATCTTGAGATCCAAACCTAAATTGAAACTGTGCAGTAAGTAATCCTTTCAATTACAGCGGGTATCATGAAAGATCCCTTGAAATACCTAACAGTTAACATAATGTTCAACAATCCTATCAAACGAGATAAAAACAAGCAAATATTTTCTTACCAAAGGTGTTTGCCACCAGCTTCAAAGATGTCCAGCACAGAGTTCAGATGAAAGAGGGCTTCACTATAAACAGCACTCCTGCTTGTGAATGAAATTATTGTTCTGATTTCACTAAGTCCCAGGAGATTACAGAGCCTCTTATGTGAAACCCATAATTACTCAAAAGCATTTGGTCTAATTATCGTTGTTCAGTCATTTTAGTGGTATCTGACTCTTAGTGCTCCCATTTAGTGTTTTCTTGGCAAAGATACTGGAGCGGTTTTGCCATTTCCTTCTTCAGCTCATTTTACAGATGAGGAAACTGAGGCAAAGAGGGTTAAGTGACTTGTCCAGGTCACACAGCTAGTAAGTGTCTGAGGCCAGATTTGAACTCAGGAAGATGGGTCTTCCTGACTCCAGGCTCATGTACTCTATCCACTGTGCCACCTAGCCGTCCGTCTAATTATGAACACGGGAAAAAAAAAAAGTGAATGACATGCTTATTGCCTAGACTATAGTATGCAGTTAGAGGGACAACCCATAAACCTGGGCCATGAGAATATATATTTTAGAGACTGTAGATGTGCAATCAACAAAGCCTGGAATTAAATAGGAGGAAGAAAGCTGGCCATGTTTTATCTGAAAATATGCAAAGTGCTTTTAATGATCCCAAACTTTTCTCTGAAACAAAGGTCCACTTTTTAACTGCAACACTCTTCCTCTGACAGGATTCCATGATCTCCACAGAATTACACTTAATATCAATAGTAACAGAAAGCTACTAGAGTTTCAATAGGGCAATGACATGGTTAGATCTACTTCAGGAAAATTATTTTGGCAGCTGAGTGGCAGATGGCTTACAATGGGGAGAGATCTGAGGTAGAAGGACCAACCAGAAGGCTATTGCAATAGTCTAGGCATGAAGTGAAGATGGCCTGTGCCAGGGTGGTGGTGTGTGAGTGAAGGGAAAGCTGTATATGAGAAATGTTGTGAAGATACACATGATGAGATTAAATTTAGGTTTAATTAATTAGATTAAGCTTAGGTGACTGGGAAGAGGGTAATTTCCTTCCCCAACTTCTTTTTTTTGTTTGTTTGTTTTTAATTTTTGAGACTGAGTCTCCCTCTCACCCAGGCTGGAAATGTATGTGGCCACCCATGGGTTTCACTGCACAGGGCAGCTTTGATCTGCATCATTTCTGACCTGGGCCAATGCACCACTCCTTAGGCTGCCTGGTGGCCCCACACCCTCCTGGGGCTCACCATATTGACGCAGGCTTTAGTTTGGACACCCAATCAAGCTGTACTTTGAGTAAAGCAGAATTGCAATAGCTCAAAAGAAACACACGATGCACAAATTTAGAGACTTCTTCCTCCAAAATGTTCATAGGGACAATTTGTGCCCGACCTGCGGTAGAGCCTTCCGAGCTCATATCGGTCTGATTAGCCACAGCTGGATACACTGTACCTCCACCCCAACATAGTGATGTCATTTTGGTCCTCTTCAGGAACGAAGGCCAACAACTAACCAACCAACTGAAGCTCAGAGGCCCTAACCTCAAGGGGTCCACCAGCCTCAGCCTCTTCTCCCAGTCACCTAAGCTGTAATCTTAAGTGTCATCCTCAACTCCTCATTCTCATTCACCCCATAGATCCAATCTGTTGTTTAATCTGATCACGTGTACCTTCACAACATTTCTCGTACACAGCTCTTTCTCTCCACTCACACGACACCACC